TCTGGTGTAGTTTTCCTGGGCGATGCTTAATCTTGAAGTGATACTGGTTCAGCTTTTCCAGCCATCTTGCTATTTGACCTTCAGGATTCTTCATCTCCATCAGCCACCTCAAAGCTGCATGATCCGTCCTAATGAGAAATTCTCTTCCGTATAAATATTTGTGGAAATGGTCAACAGCCTTAACAATTGCCAGCAGTTCTTTCCTGGTGACACAATAATTCCTTTCTGGTTTGGCCATCACTTTGCTGTAGTATTCTATAACCTTTTCTTGACCATCCTGTACTTGTGATAGCACGGCTCCAATTCCGATGTTACTCGCGTCTGTGTCCAAAATAAACAAGCCTCTCTCTTGTGGGAACCCCAAAATAGGACTCGAACAGAGGCCAGCCTTCAATTTCTTGAAGGATTTCTCACATTCTACAGACCAGTTGAAGTTGACTCGATCTTCTGTCAATCTATGGAGTGGTGCCGCAATATCAGCAAATCCTTCCACAAAACGACGGTAGTAAGTGCACAATCCCAAGAAACTTCTAACTTCATGTTTGTCCTTCGGTCTTGGCCAGTCTCGAATGCTTGAATCTTTGTCTCGTCAGTTTGTATTCCTTCTGACGTTACCGTGTGGCCCAAGAAATCTACTCGTTTTCTGGAATAGTGAACATTTCTTCAGGTTCAGTTTGAGGTTGGCATTCCTGAATCGCTGAAACACTTCCCGTAGGTTCTTCAGGTGTTCCTCGAAATTCTTTCCCATGACCAAAACATCGTCCAGATATACCAGGCAAGTTTTCCAAGTGAGCCCACGCAGTACCAATTCCATCAGCCTCTCGAAGGTTGCTGGGGCATTACATAGTCCAAAAGGCATCACAGTAAACTGGTACAGTCCATTACCAGTCGTAAAAGCAGTCTTCTCCTTATCTTCTTCGTGAATGCCCACTTGCCAGTATCCGCTCTTCAAGTCCAGTGTCGAAAACCATCGGGAGCCAGCCAATGTAGTCAAAGTGTCATCAATCCTTGGTAACGGGTAGCTATCCTTCTTGGTGACGTCATTGAGCTTCCTATAATCCACACAGAATCTTGTGGAACCATCCTTCTTGGACACTAATACAACCGGTGCAGACCAAGGGCTGGATGATTCTTCAATTACCCCATCCTTCATCATTTTGTCAACCAGCTGTTCCACCTCCTGTTGCTTAGCAAATGGCATTCTTTTTGATGGTTGCCGAATTGGGTGAGCTTTACCAGTATCTATTCTGTGCTTGACCAAGTTCGTCCGCCCTGTTGATGTTGATTCAAAGATATCACTTTCGTCTGCTATGAATTTCTTGGCAGCTTTATATTCTGTTGGTGATAAGTGGTCCAAGGAGGTTTCCAGAACTTTCAATGCACTGTCATCTCGTTCCCTTCATCTCTGCTCGTTAGTCTTATCACATTTTGCTACCCAACTGACTGGTTCACAAGCTCCGATAATATCTCCTTCCCTTACTGTTATGGTGGTAGGTAAAACATTTGCTACCCTCACAGGAATGTCTCGTTCGGTGGTCACTAAAGCTCGGGCAAGTAACAGCTTGCTGGGGGATTCCTCACATGACTGTACTTATCCAACGCAGCACCCAGGGTCCTCTTCTAATCGCGCATGGATGATCTTCTCAGTGAATCCAGGAATTCTCACAGTCTTCGCTAGTCGTAGCCTCACAGACGTCTCCCTCTCGGCCGGTGTCGTTAGTACAAACTCTTCTCCTCCAAATTTCATGGTCTTCTGATCACTGTCGAATGAAAACCCGTAATCGCTTATCAGATCCATGCCGAGGATAAACTCATCTTCGATATCTGCGACGTATACCATGTTCACTATATGGAGTCTTCCAAGCGTCAACTCGATATCAGCCAT